TAGTTCTAGAAACGTGGCGTCACGGTGGTCATGTGACTCGCTGACGCAACAATATATAGCTACAAACTTTCTGCCTCACTTTCGCCATCTCATGCTTGCATAATTCTTGCCACTCCTTATAATCACGTAGTGTTGGATATAATTCGACACTTACCATCAACCATCATCGTGACTACCGATCCGATGCTCGAAACTGAGCTTGGTGCTACCTTTTAAACTAAGGCTTAAAGATTTCTGTTGTGGGAGACAGTCAAAACGTTTGCATAACGTTTCATACTGTTATGACAGCGGAAGTCACGTGACGCCGATGGCGCGTTTGGCGCTGGTAGCGTACATGAAATTTCTCGAATGAACATGAATGATCGGGGAGGCCCGAGTGCATTCGAGACGCCGCTTTGTTAGTATATAAGCCTGGCAGAAAAAGCCTGTGGGATTGAATGAAGAGAGTTCGGGTAATTTACGATTCTGTTTCAAGCTAGTGTGTGTTTTCGAGATTGTGAATCGCTGTGATTTATAGAGTGTATTATAAAAGTAGTTAAGTTTAAAGTGACGAGAAACGTACGGATTGTGAAATTACTGGGTACTAAAAGTTTGTATCAAGAAAGAATAAACTAGTTTAATCAAGAAAGGACTTGTATCGCTGAAGTTACTGCGACAGAGTTTCTACCGGAAATTAACAAACAAGCAGATACGTAACAATACGTTTGTGTAACATGGACGAAATCGATCATGCAGTGGTAGAAAAAAAATACTCTGTTCCTGTCAAAAGCGTCGTGTCCGAAAGAGCACGAACCCTATACATAACTAAATAATATGCGACATCATTACAGTTGCGTGGCTTTTTGGGGTTTACCAAAAATAAAAAATAAAAAATGTTCCAAACTACTTGGGCACCCCCATTTCCTTTTGACACCCCTATTGTAACTAACGCTTCCATTTGTAAATTTTTTCCCCAAGAAGATTGTACATCTAATTAATGAAGTAAGTGGTATAATAATGTATTAAAATTATCAGATCATACTATTAATATGATTTATTAATACATAAATGTTACTTTGATGATTTTTTTTTTAAATTGAGGGGGTGCCATATGGAACTCTTACCCTTGTTTTAACTCTTTACTTTACTTTTATAATACCTACTAAATTAGATATATATAAATAAATACATCCGAGAATGCCAGTGTCATGTTACGTAAATATTTCGACATATGGACCGTACGTCAGACGTCACGAACAAACATTACTAAAGACAGATACAAAAACAGACAACACGTACACTGATCTTGACAGGCGTCATAGCCTAAGGGTAGGATTATTACCGTTCACAGCTGGGTATATTTATTCATATTGTTACGTATCTGGTCGTTTGTTAATTTCCGATATAAATTCTTCCCGAGGAACTTAAGCGATACAAGTCCTTTATTAAATAAAACTAGTTTATTGTTTCTCAATACAACTTCTCAATACAAACATTCAGCTGGTATAGAAGTTGTCAATACTGACATAAAACTTCAACTTTTGATTTTCAGATAAACATATAAGGCATATTAAGTCTCCGACTCCAGAAGACGACGTATTTCATCATCTTGCGTTACTGTATTCCTCTCATCACCCCATTATTCACCAGGGAAAGCAATGTCGGATGGGAATCCCAGACTTCGAAAATGGAATTACCAATGGTGCCGAATGGTACGCTGTGAAAGGTGCAGTTAAACTTTACATAGTTAAAGCTTATTATGTTTTAACAGCTCCCTTGAATCTTACGATGCATTAATTTAGCTCCCCCTGGTAACTCAAAACCGTAGACCTGAAATTTATGTCTTAAAACTCACACCTAGGAGTTGATGAGTGAAGTTCATAATTTTGTGTTTAAAAAAATGTAAATAAGAAACAGTGAAACAAGATATATAAAAATGAAAAATAAATATTAAGATTTTCAATAAAAAATATTGACCATATGAGTAAGATGACAGTTTATTATGACCTTAAATTATATCCACACATTCTTTTATTTGAAGTTAAGCACAAAGCTACACAATGAAGTATATGTGCTCTGCAAACCACGAGGTATCGAAACCCGGTTTCTAGTGCTGTAGGCCCGGCATGGCCAGGTGGATAAGGCGCTCGACTCGCAATCTGAGGGTCGCGAGTTCGAATCCCCGTCCCACCAAACATGCTCGCCCTTTCAGACGTGGGGGCATTATTATGTGACGGTCAATCCCACTATTCGTTGGTAAAAGAGTAGCCCAAGAGTT